GAGCGGGGACACCGGCAAGGGGCTGAGGGGTGAGCGGGAGGTGCTCGCCTGTCAGGAGGAGGAGAAGCTTCTGCAGGGCAGGGACAGAGCGCCTGTCCTGACCCCTGGGAGAGGCTGTGCCCAGCTCTGGTTGAATGCTCGGGATCCCTTGGTTGATTTCTGTTGTTACAAGTTTTTTTTAATTTGATTTCTCACCCAAATAATTCAAGCCTAAGCAGTGTGATCGCTGTTTATTATTTTCTATAGCCATGTGAAGAGTCAGTGTACTTATTTATATCCCACTACCTTTAACGTCTTAAAACCAAAACTGTTTTCTATACTGTGCCTAGGCCAGTCAGGCATTCTGAATGACTCCTGTTAGTAGTTCAGACTATTTGAATATATCAATTTCCTTTTAATAAAGATCTTTGAGTTGTGATACTCTAAAAATTTATCTCTCAGTGGAGTGATGTGATGCTTGGATAACATAACTTGCTGTGTGTCTTACTAAGAACGTGTACTGCTGTTTAGTAAGAGTCCTCATTATCATTGGTTTGATTAAGAGAACATATTCAGAAACATCTGAAAACATCCGTGTGGACACAAACTGTTATCAAAAAATTCAAGTGATTAATGTGGTGCAAAATATGTATGTCATATATAAACTCTGGATGTGAAAGGGTTTGTAGTTGTGAAATTTTATAATACATTGGTAAAAATCAAATAATTATCAAATGCTTACTCTAGAAATCCAGTTGCTCTAGTTTAAATTCTCATTGATCTTTGAGTCTGGAATCAATGGTATTAATGTTATGTTTAGGGGGACTAAGACCACATTCTGTAAACATATCAGTTATTTTTATATAGTATTTTCCAACTAATTCACTGGAAGCATTGTAGTTCTAAGACTTGTTTTCATATATTGAACTGTCAAGACTAATCTAGCTGTAAACAGAATTTCCTTTAAGGTAATAGACTTCCTCTTCTAATAGCCTCAGTTTTGTGATTACTAAGGACATGTGTGTTAATTAGAGTAAATGCCAGAAATGGAATTAGACAGGATAGGAGAGGGTATGTGTGTTGTAACATGGAGGCATGTCCACTCAGAAAGCGGTAAAATAAGACATTTAAAGAGCTGCAAAGAGTTTGGGTCATTCAAGCAGCTTAAAATATTTTCCCATTAATCATTTATCATTATCATAATAATACTTTATTTAAAGTAATTAATGTGATCCAGAGATCCTTGTGACCCGGAGATGACTTCAGGAACGAGAATTAATTGATGTTCTGGTGGCAGGTGCTTGCTCGTGCCTTTTTGCCAGACCTGCACTGAGTCATTGGTCAGAAAGGCTGAATCTTGGTAAAATTCTGCAAGTAGAGAATTGATCTTGAGGTGCTTTTCAGCAGTGCTTGGGTGAATCATTTGCTGTAGAAGAAATTTCACAGCATTGACTTGGAGCAATATCCGTGCATGTGCGCTGTGTACCACAGGGTGTGCAGGCCCAAGACTTCAACTTCTAAACAAAAAGTCAAATTGGAGGTTAAACAACAAGATGCTAGGGCTCTGAAGGGTCTGTTTGGGAGGTGGTTTAAAGCATTGGTCAGAGGTGATGTTTTGGGGAGTATAGAGCAGGGGTGGATAAACTCTTGGTCAAACTGAACCTCTCTAACAGGTTATGCTTTGACATCAACAACAGTGCACTCTTCAAAATTTTTGTCTCTGCCACTGTTGACAGTCTTGGGTTGGTCCTTCATGAGCAGATGTCACCAAATGACAGAATCCTCTTGGATGATGGTGATGTCACCACGTGTAGTGATGGGTAGATTG